TCATCCCTTTCTCTCCCACCACCCCAACTTGTGGCAGCCACTGATCTTTTTACTGTCTCCATAGTTTTGCCTTTTTCAGAAGGTCATATAGTTTGACTCATACAGCATACAGCCTTTTCAGATTGGCTTCTTTCACTTAGTAATATCCATTTAAAGTTCCTCCATGTCTTTATGGCCAATAGCCCGTTTCTTTTTAGCACCAAATAATATTTCATTGTCTGGATGTACCAGTTTATCCATTTACATCTGGATTACTTCCAAGTTTTGATAATTATGAATAAAGCTGCTGTAAACACCTGTGTGCTGGTTTTTGTATGCACATAAGTTTTCAGCTCCTTTGGATAGATACCAAGCAGCACAATTGCTGGGCTATAATTCATGTTTTTGTTCTGGTCTTTGTGGCCTGTGCATTTAAAAATATATGTTATTATTGGGTCTAAGACTGTGAGCACCTAAAAGTTAAAGACTGTATCTCTGTTTTTTACAAGCTGGCATATGAAATGAGAAGTCTAGCACATATTTTGATTCTATTATTCAATTTTTAACTTAATTTCTCAGAGTGTCAACGTGATCATCTGTTTACTGTAGTGTGGAGTCCACCATCTCTAATATACCTTTTAATCTTCGATTTAATCTTAGAACTCGTTGACAGCTGGCAGCTTTTAAGAAAAAAGCCTGAGGTTAGATGGGAGGGACTTGAATTTCCAGATTTCCAAAGAAGCAATAGGAGGCCCTGCTTGTAGCTATTTATTTCTTTTTGGGTTTTCATCCTGGATCATTTCCATAAAGCTGAAACATTACCATCTTAGAATTAGAAGAGATCTGAAGTCATTTCACAAATAACTTCTGTCCCAATACAAAAATCTCTTCAGTAGTACCTCTGGCAGATAATTTTCCACCCTCTATTTAATTATTTCCAACAATGAGGAGCCTGAGGGTTTCTGAGATAATATACTTTTATTGAGTAGTTTTTAGCATCTGAAAGTAATTCCTTTTACTGGACCAAAATATGCCTACCTGTATTTCTGCTCATGAGCAGTGGTCCTGCCCTCTGGAACCAGAGAGTAAGTACACTGAGAGAAATAATCTTCCTAGGTTTAATAATATCTATAAGCTATCTCTCTTTTTGCACCCTTCCCCTTCGTTCCCCAACTCTTCTTTATTAGGCTAGACACCACTTCACTTAGCTATTCCTATGACAAGCTTCAAGTCTCCTGGAAAAATTAATTCATTAAAAGTAAGAGTCCTTCGAAGTTTTTTGTTTTCCTCATATCTGTGGCTGGCTTAAGGTCTCATGCATAGGGGTGCCTGAGTGGCTCAGACTCTGGGACCATGACCCGAGCTGAAGGCAGACGCTTAACGACTGAGCCACCCAGGCGCCCCATATATTTTTCATTTTTTGAGGAACCTCTATTCTGTTCCATAGTGGTTGCACCAGTTTACATTCCCACCAGCAGTGCATATGGGTTCCCTTTTCTCTACATCCTTGCCAGCATTTGTTATCTCTTGTCTTTTTGATGATAGCTATTCTTACAGAAGTGAATTGATATCTCATTGTGGTTCTGATTTATAAATTTCCCTGATGATTAGTGATATGTTCTCTTCTAGGAATTTTACAGTTTTAGGTCTTATGTTTATGTCCTTAATTGATTTTGAGTTAATTTTTATGAGTGTTGTAAGATAGAGATCCAATATCATTCTTTTGCATGTGGCTGTCTAGTTTTCCCAGAACCATTTATTGAAAAGACTGTCCTTTCCCCATTGAGTATTCTTGGCTCCCTTGTCAAATGTTAGTTGACCTTATATGAGTGGATTGATTTCTGGGCTCTCACTTCTGTTCCATTGGTCTGTGCATCTGTTTTTATGCTAATATCATACTGTTTTGATTATTACAGCTTTGTAATATAGTTAGAAATCAGGAAGTGTGTTACCTCCAGCTTTGTTCTTTCTCAAGACTGTTTTTTCTACTCAGGGTCTTTTGTGGTTCCATATGAATTTTAGGATTGTATTTTCTATTTCTGTGAAAATTGCCATTGGAATTTTGATAGAGATTATATTAAATCTGTAAATGGCTTTGGGTAAAATAGACATTTTAACTATTAACTCTTCGTATTTATGAACACAGATATCTTTCCATTTATTTGTGTCTTTTTCAACTTATTTCCTCACTGTCTTAGAGGTTTCATTGTACAGATGATCTTTCTCCTCCTTGGTTAAATTTATTCCTGGGTATTTTATTGTTTTTGATGCTATTGTAAATGGATAATTTTCTTTATTTCTTTTTCAGATAGCTCGTTGTTAGTGTATAGAAATGCATAGAATGATTTTTGTATGTCGATTTTGTATCCTGAAATTTGACTGAATTTGTTCATTGGTTCTAAAAGGTTGTTGTTTTTTGTTTTGTTTTTTGGTTAGAATTTCAAGTTGAAAATAACAGAGAATAAAAGATTATATCAGATTAATATACTGGGTTTGTATGTTAGCAATACGAGGGAGTAGCTTACAGTCTGACTGTACAGTAGGATAGTCAGAGTGGCATGCCTAGAGCCGCATATTGTGTTGAGCATATAACCAGAAAATACGGGGCAGCTGCACTTAATACTTCTTGTGAGAGAATGGGAATATCTTCTCCTGAAAAAATTATTACTTTTGCTTTTGTGAAGTTAGTAGAAGAGAATGAAAGTGATTACTTTGAGCAGATCTTTAAATACTTTTGTCATATATAAGTAAAGTCAATTTATGATTGAGCCTTTCCCTGTGTAAATATATACTAGGAAGGCAGTTGGAAGTAGTAAGTGGACAGTCAGACATATAGAAGATGTCAAGAGAAGATTCATTCTCTTCTATATTCTTTGTAGCACAGTTGTCTAATAAGCTCTTTAGAACCACAGTAGTTGATCTAGATATTTAGGGATTTTTTTTTCCCAAAGACAAAGATGGTATTGCTACTTTTCTTTTCCCTCTCCCTCTGTAGAAACATTCTAAATACCAAGTAGGTTTTTTTTCTTTTTTTAAAAAAAATATGTATGTTTAAATTTTTATCTAAGTTGGTTCCATACCCAAGGTGGGGTTCAGACTTCACAACCCTGAGATCAGGTCACACGCTCCACTGACTGAGCCAGCCAGGCGCCCAAGTATTTTTCTAAGAGGGAATTTTCTAGCTGTTTTAACTGGAATTAAAGACTTTATTTGGGGGATGCCTGGGTGGCTCAGTCATTAAGCGTCTGCCTTCAGCTCAGGTCATGATCCCAGGGTCCTGGGATCGAGCCCCACATCGGGCTCCCTGCTCCGCGGGAAGCCTGCTTCTCCCTCTCCCACTCCCCGTGCTTGTGTTCCCTCTCTCGCTGTCTCTCTCTCTGTCAAATAAATAAATAAAATCTTAAAAAAAAGACTTTATTTGGATAATTTAGCTGAGGTAGTCATACATTTCTCTAATATTATGAAGTATCACTCTCCTTAATCACATTTTTATAATTTTCATTATTGACTGATTATACTACTTATTCGTAGAAAAGTATAAAAGAAGCTAATATCCCCAGGACCTCAACATAAATGCTGATAAGCATTTTCTTACAGCTTTTTTCTGTGTTTCTCTTTTTTTTTAAAAGATTTTTTTTTTTTTTATTTGAGAGAGAGGGAGAGAGAGCATGAGAGGAGAGAGGGTCAGAGAGAGAAGCAGACTCCCCGCTGAGCAGGGAGCCCAATGTGGGACTCGATCCAGGGACTCCGGGATCATGACCTGAGCCGAAGGCAGTCGCTTAACCAACTGAGCCACCCAGGTGCCCTCTGTGTTTCTCTTTTAGAAATATCTCTCTTTTCTATTTTAGAAAAAGTAAAAAGAATACTTTCCAACACTAATGGTATGTTAAAAGTTATCTGAGAATATTGTGTATGAATTTTAAGACTCTGCTTTTTTCATTCACCACTATATACTCCATGAATTTCTATTCAGAAATGTTTAGCCTGTTTAAGAGGTGTATTGGGAGCCTCTGGGTCTTGGAACAGAGGGTTCTTAAAATCTTACTGGTGCCATGGTTCCGAGCATTGATTCTCTGTGATTCTCGGGCGCCTGGGTGGCTCAGTCATTAAGTGTCTGCCTTCGGCTCAGGTAATGGTCCAGGGGTCCTGGGATTGAGCCCCACATCGGGCTCCCTGCTCAGCGGGAAGCCTGCTTCTCCCTCTCCCACTCCCACTGCTTGTGTTCCTTCTCTCACTGTCTCTCTCTCTCTGTGTCAAAAAATAAATAAAATCTTAAAAAAAAAAAAAGGAATAGTGATTCTCAAAGTATGGTCTGGGGGTTCCTAGAGCTCTTTGAGACTCTTGGGAAGTCCTTGAGATGAACATTACTGCCAGAATAATTCTAAGATGTTATTTTTCTTTTTTATTCTTACTCTCTTTTTAGTGTACAGTGGAATTTTCCAGAGGCTTCAGGGCTCGGTGATGTGTATTATTGCAACAGCCTGAATACTGAAGCAGCTATGAGAATCCAGCAGTATTCTATTAAACAAAACATGAAAGACATTTGCCAAAAGAAAAAGCCTTTCTTTTCACTTTGTTTTGGAAAAGATGGTTATTTTTCATAAAAATATTTGTGTTAACATATGAATTTATTGCCACCTTTTGAATGATTTAGTAAATATTTTTTAACATTCCTCAGTTTTAATTTATAGAGAAGTTAGTGATAGCTATAACCTTGAAACAATGTAGGGAATCTCAGTTTTTCAGTGTTCAGGGCTTCTGATACTGAAAAAATTAAGAATCACTAGTTTAGAAAAAGATTGATGGAAAAATCTAGGCCCTTCCTTACATCCTTGTTCTTTAGGTCTCTTTTTAGAATATCATTCTTTGTGCTCGCTTCGGCAGCACATATACTAGATATCATTCTTTGTTTTTTAGAGATCAAGGGACTGAGAGTTCTATTTCTGTCTCAGATTCTTCCCTGGAACTAAGAAGCTTGTCAGTCTTCCAAAAATAACAATTCTTTGTTTTTTCCTTTTTAGATTTGATGGTAGAGTGGTGGCAAAGCTCCCTTTCACCCCCCTTTCCTATATCCAAGGATTGTCTCATCGAAACCTGCTAGGGGATGACACCACAGACTGTTCCTTCATTTTTCTGTATATTCTCTGTACCATGTCAATTCGACAGGTGAGTGACCATATCCAGTATTAAATACATACATTCTTCCTTGCTCTCACACCCTAAATTAGCCTTTACTACTTTAATACTAGAAATGTTTTAGAATCCCAGTGGATCCTCTAAAGCTGTTTTGTTTATTTATTTGTTTGTTTGTTTAAAAGATTATATTCATTTATTTGACACAGAGAGAGAGAGAGAGAGCACAAGCAGGCAGAGCGGCAGGCCGAGGGAGAGGGGGAAGCACTCTCCCCGCTGAGCAGAGAGCCTTACGCGGGGCTGATCCCAGGAACCTGGGATCACAACCTAAGCTGAAGGCAGACACTTAACCAACCTAACCTCTAAAGCTGTTTTAAATGTGTATAGGTCTAGATTACTGATCCATTGGGGTGAGAAGTAGCCATAAAACCAAACATGGTTTCCATATCCCATTTTTAGAGCTCTTAGGTTCCTTCTTCATTACAACCATCTAAAGATACAAAAGTGAAGAATGGGTTTGGTCTTCTCAGTATCATTTCTTTTTTTCTTTTTCTTTCTTTCTTTTTTTTTTAAGATTTTATTTATTTATTTGAGAGAGAGAGAGGGAGGGAGGGAGAGCACAGAGGAGAATTAGAGGGAGAAGCAGCTCCCCGCTGAGCAGAGAGCCCAACATGGGGCTCGATCCCAGGACCCTGAGATCATGACCTGAGCCGAAGGCAGATGCTTTACCAACTGAGCCACCCAGGTGCCCCAGTATCATTTCTTCTCTATTATACTCCAGTGCCTTTTGGCACTTCAGGAACACAAATAAATGTAATAATTTGATGATTTTAGGTTATTCACAGTTGAGATACTCAAGTCTGTGTTACAGAATTTACATTTGGCCACCATGATTATCACACATTCATAATGAAAAACAGTGAGAGCCAAGACAGAAGTATAGATGGTTGAAAGAGCCCAGAGAGAAACCTAACATTTGATTCGTGGGGGAAAATTCAGGCAGAAAGGTTTAGAGAGTGAAGTAGTTTTTGAAATAGGACTTTAAAAAGTGAGAGGGGTTAATTAAAGTCTCTGGCTTAAGAACTTCTTATATTTCAGCTTTGAACACACTGCCATTCAGCAGGCATTGCCATGGGGAAGTTGGCACATGAGACTTGTATTTCTTCTTCTGAATACTGTCAACGGCAGCAGATTTTTTGGTTGGCCTGGCATGTGAGAATAAGTAGGAAATGGAATTAGAGTTTGAAACTTGCAAAGATCTTCATGATCTTACTGCTTAATGTTTTCCCCACCTCATCTCTCATCCAACACTCCAGTCATTCTGACTTGCCTGACAGTTTCCATGTCCCACTCACCCAGATTGACTTTTTGTGAATGCTCTTCCTTCTGTCTGGCTGCCTCCCACCTCCTCCTTTTGTAGATTAAGTGCAGCCAGGTCTCAAGACTTCCTGGCATCATTTTCTGACACTTAACTGCTTCCTGAAGGATAGATGTGAGAGAGGAGCCTGACAAGGTGGAGAAATACCAGAAGACTATCTGAATTGTCTAGCATAAAATCATTATGTTCTGAACTATTGCCATGATGAGAGGGATGAAAAAGAGGGGGCAAAGTTGAGACATACATGGAGGTAAAGCAGGAGAAAGGAGAAAGTAACTCAAGTCCCACGTGTGGCTTTGGTGACCAAATGGAGACTAGTGTCAGTAAGAGGGGAGGAATAGAGGAATGAAGAGTAGCTTGGTTAGAAGATGAGCCATTGGAGATGTTTATAGAGCAGCTAAGTGGGTATGTCCACCAGAAGTTGTGTTCTTGTGTAGCTGAGGTGTATACTACATCTTTCGAAAATGTCTCTGTAGTGAAGCATTTTATTTAGTCTATCTAAACATGAAAACCAAGACATTAACAACATAGATCTCTTTTGTTGGTTTAGCAGCGATCCGTTGATTTCCAGAATATTGCTCTTAAATTTGATTATTTAAATCTGAAATTTTTAATTGTGGCTTATGTCCAAATATTAATAAAACACAATGATGTATACATTCTACTTTAAGCAACTAAGAACAATTCTACTTTAAATTACATTCAGATATTACTACTTTATGTGTGATGGCTCACAGTAGTCATTTTAGATGCGCCATTTGCATTGCTACCTAGAAATCACTGTTTCAGACAGTGATTAGAGTTTTTAAAATGTAGAGTTTTTAAAATGAAAGAAATGTTAAGAATGATCATTGAGAAAGTTCAGCTCAAGCTGGTCTTTAAACTCCTTTCTGTTATTTCAGAGAGTCTGGTGAGGTGTTTGTTTAGCAGTTAATTTTATCAGGAATGCAATGCTCATTTACCATGGCGGTCAGCAAATTTTTTGTTAAGGTCTGGATCATAAATATTTTTGTATTTCCTTTTCAGACCAGACCATACACTCTGTTGTAACTACTCAAGTCTGCCGTTATAGTATGAAAACAGTCCTAGACAGTATGTAAATGAATGAGTGTGGCTGTGTTCCAGCAAAACTTTATTTACAAAACTGGGCAAGGGGCCAGCCATAGTCTGCTAATCCCTGAAGGTTCAGGCAGAGACTGTTGTAACTACTCAGCTCTGCCATTATAGTATGAAAGTAGCCATAGACAATGTGTAAATGAGTATGACTGTATTCCAGTAAACCTTTATTTATAAAAACAGGCAGTGGACCAGCATGATATGCTAACCCCTGAGAACCACAGTGTATAATATGTGCTATAAAGTTAAAATAGGAACAGTAGATCCTAGACTGGCACAGCTTAATAAAATAATTGCTTACTGAGTACAGAGAAAGGGAGGAAAGGGGCAGCAACCCCCCCCTCCACACACACGCATATAGTCAATGTGTTTTGAGCCAGGAAGAATGCATACTCATAATTTTTTTTAAAGATTTTATTTATTTATTTGACAGAGAGACAGCGAGAGAGGGAACACAAGCAGGGGGAGTGGGAGAGGAAGAAGCAGGCTTCCTGCTGAGCAGGGAGCCTGATGCAGGGCTCGATCCCAGGACCCTGGGATCATGACCTGAGCTGAAGGCAGACGCTTAACGACTTAGCCACCTAGGCACCCCCATACTCACAATTTTTATTTCTACTTGTCCCATTCCATGCACTGATATTAATAAGAGAAAAGTATCGAAGAGCGATAGTATTGCATAGCTAATATAACAGTGTTGTATTTGAAAGATTTCTTTCTTTTGCTATATAGTTTTCTTCCCCAAGATCAATGGTGAGTTCTAACTTGTTGCTGCATCCTGAGTGGTGCTCGTCTTGGGTGGTTAATTTTATTACTCCAATTTTAAACAAGGTATTCTAATATATTTAAAGTCTTAGAAAAATTACCGAAGCGACCTACTTTTATAATTTTTTATTTTACTAGCTGCATATGGTTTCTGTACCTGTTCCTCACTAATTGTTGTTAGCATATGTACTGGAGGATTATGAACTTCTATCCAGTCTGACATACCTTAGCATTTGAAGTGTTACTATGAAAAATATGCTTCTGTCTTTGAATTAAAATGCTTGTTTTATTTCCATGTTTTGTTTTGTTGTTTATTTACTTTTTAGGATCTTAGGTTACATGGTAATTGTGAAGATGCCTGTGAAGTGAGCAGCCATAAAATAGGAGGCTTTCAGAAATTCAAATTATAGACGTAGACGTACTATGATTTCCCCAGTGAGGCCATTCTTAGGCAAAGAAGTAGGCCACTTGGTTTCAGATACACACTGGCATAAAGTAGTTTTAAGAGAACATAATGAATTGGGGTTTTTTGTTTGCTTGTTTGGGGATATAAAGTGGAGTGAGTGATGGGGAAACTAATATAGAATGATTCAAGTTTCCATAATGATTGGTCATATTCTTCATTGTAGGAGCTTTATCTGTTTTTGTCTACTTGTTATTTTTATCTATATTTTCTCCTTTCCTCTCCAACTCTTTGAAGGTAGTGATTTCTTCATTGTTTATATATACCTTAAAGTATCTATGTACCTGTCTATAGTACATAGGATGCACCTGAGAAGTGTATGTTAAACGAAGAGTAGGTGCTACACCAAAATAGGAATTTATAAACTTGGCAAACTGGGGTTATACCATTTTTTAGTCCCAAGAGCAAGGTATGAAAATGCATGTTTCTGCCATCCTCACCCACAGAAATTGCTTTTGAGTTTTTACTCATCTGATAGATAAGAATTGCTACCTCGTTGTAGCTTTAATTTGCATTTTGGATTGAGCATCCCTGTTTGTCTAAGAGCTGTTCATATACTCTTTTCTTTCTTTGGTGGCAAGAGACTTTGTATGCCTTTTGCCTATTTCTCTATTGGGTTGTTGGTCTTTTTCTGAATTTTTAGCTCCTATGTAGGAGATTAGCCCTTTCTGGGTGCTGTAAGTCGCACATAATTTTTCCAGTTTGTCATTTGTGTTTCAGTTTTACTTACAGTGGTATTTGCCACACAAAATTTTGTTTGCTGGATTTTTTTTTTCTTTTTTGATCAAATTTGTCTTTTATGGCTTTTGGATTTTGAATTATGGTTAGAAAGTTCTTCTGCACTCCAAAGTTACAAGGAAATTCATCCTTGTTTTCTATTAGTACTTTTTTGTTTTCATTCTTTGCATTTAAATGGTGAGCCAATCCATTTGGAGTTCATACTGGTGTACCTTATTCTTTTTTTGCTCTCTTCTAGTTTGCCAACTGTTATGTGATTTTTAGGAAGGAAAACATAAAAACATGGATTCATTTGAGATCACAGTTTGCCTACTTCTTTTTTTTTTTTCAAAAACTAAGAAGCTAGAAGGTCAAAAGAATACAGTGAGGTGAATGATTGGTCTTGAATCTGGTATGCATGTGAATATGACAAATCCCTGCCAACAGCCTAGTAGTATTTTGTCTGGAGTGCCTATCTAAATTCACCTTTGAAATGTGAAGGCCTGTTCAGTCCAGGTGACAAGTGTTTGAGTGGAGGCACTCTTCCTTTCTTCACACCTTCTTTAGATAAGAGGTCTTTTGAAATGTGCTGGTGTT